CACACATACACACACACACACAAACATACACACGCACATACATTCTCATGTCTATTGATGGGGAGCGCCACATGCTGGAAACTGGGTCCAGCGTCCCATGAACATCGTGAATAAAGCACCAACCGACACCCCACACACACACACTCTTCGAGTTGTATATAGCGAACATGACAAAACATACATACATCATAATCACTACCTTACCCTTCCCGAACCGCATAAACAAACGAACTACGGGTTGCGCACCCGTGCCCTCACGGTAAGTCAATCATTTATATTCATCCGTTGAGTTCGCATCCCGTCAGGGTTGCGTTTTCCCCCCCTGAGATTTTCAACGTCACTCAAATTTCAACGCTAGTGGTCGTCGGGAGGGTGGGCATTTTTAGGTTTCGGGGCTTAGCAAGGGGCGGGCCGCGTAGGACCGTTGTTGGCGCGGTCCTTAAGCGGCAGGCAGGCGGTAGTGGGCGAAACGGCAGCCTTGGCGGTAGTGGCCTAAACGGCACCCTAGAACTTGGACCTTGGAAACGCAAAAGTTTGGCACAGGTCGCACTTGCGTTTTGTCAAAACGGCACTTGCGCTTTGCTGACATAGCGCAAACGGTAGCCTTGACACGTTCGCGCAAACGGCACCATAGGAACTTGTACACGGTTGGCGCAGGCGGTGTTGGATGGTTCGTTGCTCATCCTATCGATGAAACTCACTCTCTCTCTCTCTCTCATTGTATTCCGGGGAAGAAGGTAGGCCTGATGGTATTGAAGAGAATCAGCGTGAGCACTCGCTGTCGGAGAAAATACCCTTACAACTTGAAGGGTATTTGGCCATATTTTTGCAATCGACACAACGACGACATCGGCTACCATGACGGGGCCGGTCTGAAATGAAAAGGGTATGCGCGCTTTAGCCTGACACTTGAAACGATTTCCCCGGCCATTGAAGCAGGGGTAAATCGGTGAGAAATGTTTTTGAGAGTATGCGCGCGCGTTGTTATGACGCGCGCTGTGATGGTTAGGATCGATAGTAATACCCTCCGACCGAGAAGGTCGAAGGGTTGATTGGGTTAGTACTGTGTCGAGTAGATCTACAAGACACATTGAAACTTGGCTTGATACCTGTCTACCTACCAGTACTGGGCATCTAAAAATGCCAACTTTTGTCTTCCTCTACTCGGCCTCCGAGTCGGGTACTTGGCACATCTACCTCTACTTGGTGAGGTACCGACTTATCTACCACTTGAGTATTTTTACCCGCCGCGACCCTTAATGTCACAGCCACAGCTAAGTACCGGCCTTTCGGGCCTTCCGATCAACTAAGTACCCTTGTGGGTCACACACAAGCCGATGAGCACACAAACAGGCCCGCAAACCAGCAAGCACGCACAACTACAGAGTTGTGGGTCACACCCTCACTCAGTATGGCAAACACTCAGACATGCGTACAAACCAGCAAGCGTGCACACACACAGATTTGGGAAACGAGCTCAGGTCGCTGGTTGGACTGAGCCCTCTACTATATACATACTGAGTAGCGCCCCTTCTACTCGAAGTGGGAGCTAGCTCAGTAGTTTTTGGTGATGCTTGACAAGCAGGTGATGCAGGGATCGAAGCCTACCGCCCTCTGAGCTAGCTCCCTTTTGACAGGGAGCTCTACTTTTGTTTTGCACCGTTTCGAACGGTCGGGGCTTGAACCCGCGACCTCGTTATTAAAGTTAGTTGTAGTTTGCCCCGTTGAAACGGGGCTTGACACTTGGCAAGTTAGGGTAGTTATAGTTAGATTCTGTTAGATTTCATTCTTTTCTTTTCTTTTCGGATTTTTTTTTTTTTTTTTTCTTGATGAGTTATTATTTTTCCTTTCTTTTATTTTTGACGAGTACGAATCTCTTATAACTTACTTTATTGAATTTACCCTGCATTTTTGGGCAAGTTCGTTCTCGAGAAAATTTTGATCCTGCCACGATAGTAAACCTCAAACGTAGCTGGCTCTGACATGTTCGTGAGTAGGGAGCTCACGACCTCAAAGTTCGGATGGGGAAAACTCCAAACGGAGCCGAGGAGGAAGGCGACCACTCGGAAGGAGGAGGTGCGAGCGAAAAGGGAGATGAAGATGGCGCCCACGTGGAAGAGAAAAGGGCAGTAGTGCATAAGGAGGAGTGCGACTCACGGGAGCCAGAAGGCGTACGGGATGCTAAAGGGGAAGCGCGTAGTGGAGAATGGAGAAGGTGCGCGATGGGAATACGGCGTGCTCACAACGAAAGAGAACAGAGGGGGTAGTCGCATGCGGATAAGAGGGCCGCTCACTTGTGTAGGCCACGCTTGGAGAACGATGCGCGCCGGAAAGCAACGCAGGCAGAACGAGGAAGAAGGACGCTGCATGCAAGGAGGGCAATGAGCGATAGACGAGGGAGAAGGAGAATGCTGCGAAGAAGAGGTCAACCACGCAGAGGAAAAGGAGACGGATCGCACAGAAGAAGGCGATGTGTGGGGGAGGCAGTAAGAAAAGTAGGGAGAGGAGTAGTGGCAGGAGAAAGACATAGGAAGAGGGAGAAGAAAAGGGGGTAGACGAAGATGAGAGAAGAAGGATGTCGACTTACCCAGCAAGTATGAAGTCAATAATGACTTACGTGAGGCGCATCTGCCGATGGTGCCATGAAGTTGTGCCCGTCACCCGCCGACTTGTCAGAACGCACGCTTATGCCGTCGTGTTCCCCATGCAATGATCGCAGTATGTTGTACTTTGTGACGGGTCATGCTTTGTGGGGAGCTTCAACCTGTCGATTGGCGACAAC